AACTGAACTAGAACTGAACTAGAACTGAACTAGAACTGAACTAGAACTGAACTAGAACTGAACTAGAACTGAACTAGAACTGAACTAGAACTGAACTAGAACTGAACTAGAACTGAACTAGAACTGAACTAGAACTGAACTAGAACTGAACTAGAACTGAACTAGAACTGAACTAGAACTGAACTAGAACTGAACTAGAACTGAACTAGAACTGACCTAGAACTGAACTAGAACTGAACTAGAACTGACGTAGAACTGAACTAGAACTGAACTAGAACTGACCTAGAACTGACATAGAACTGAACTAGAACTGAACTAGAACTGAACTAGAACTGAACTAGAACTGAACTAAAACTGAACTAGAACTGAACTAAAACTGAACTAGAACTGAACTGGAACTGAACTAGAACTGAACTAGAACTGAACTAGAACTGAACTAGAACTGATCTAGAACTGAACTAGAACTGAACTAGAACTGAACTAGAACTGAATTAGAACTGAACTAGAACTAGAACTATAGAACTGAACGAGAACTGAACTAGAACTGAACTAGAACTGAACTAGAACTGAACTAGAACTGAACTAGAACTGAACTAGACTGAACTAGAACTGAACTAGAACTGAACTAGAACTGAACTAGAACTGAACTAGAACTGAACTAGAACTGAACTAGAACTGAACTAGAACTGAACTAGAACTGAACTAGAACTGAACTAGAACTGAACTAGAACTGACCTAGAACTGAACTAGAACTGAACTAGAACTGAACTAGAACTGAACTAGAAACTGAACTTGAACTGAACTTGAACTGAACTAGAACTGAATTAGAACTGAACTAAAACTGAACTAGAACTGGACTAGAACTGAACTAAAACTGAACTAGAACTGGACTAGAACTGAACTAGAACTGAACTAGAACTGAACTGGAACTGAACTAGAACTGAACTAGAAATGGTGATAATCTATGATCCTTATTATTTTCCATCAAAAAAAATTACCTTCCTAATGTTTTCAAATGAAAGTGAATTAGTATGTGTAAATAGATAGATGTGTAGCAAAAGCATACGTGTTATGTATAAGTAAGATTGTCGAAACTGTATAAAAAATAGAACCAGTTAACAAGTTTAAATTAAATTTAGACAGAAAATAACCAAGCAAATTTTACGTCTACAATCAAAATAAATTAATTAAAATTTAAACATTTAAACAATTTTTATTATTAAATTAAATCTTGAGATCATAATTTTATAATTTATGCACCCTTGATAGAAATTTGCAAAATTCTTAAGGTTTTTGTAAACATTTGTTTTGCTGGGTTGCTGCTTGTTATTATAGTTTTTCTTTTATTAGTTTCCATGTAGCAAATAGTTCTTGCTAGTGCTTTGTAGGGCTTTAATAGGTTTGTGTGTGGTAAACTTTGATATAGTAAACTATAAATACATTTCAGGTTTTTTTTTTTGGGGAATTTCGTTTAATATTTTTTTAAAATACATAAGACATAAATACTCTTCGCTGGTTTGATGATGTCAGTTGTATACTTTGTACCCACTATTTCGCTAGTTACACTTATTAACAATGTAAACTTTACTGTAGTTAGAATTAACTACAACACACATTCAACAACTCGCTTTCTAAATTTTCTTAATTTATTTAACAAACTAATTTTGACGGAAAGTTTTCTCAAGAATTGTTAAGATGTACAATATTTTAAATAGAGTAAACATTTTTCCAAAAAAGTAGCTCCCTAATGTATGTATTTATGTGTGTGCGTAGGTCTTTTTTCAAAGGATGAACTAAAAATGTTTGGGTTTATTTTTATTTTTTCATTTTACGCTAAATGCATTTGCAACAAAACAAAAGTATACCATGAAGAAGATGATGTTGTTGGAAAAAATGTCAAGTACTTTTGAACTTTATTTTAAGATTTTAGGTGTTTTATGGCATGTAATGGATTGAATGGATGACTAGATGTTTGCCCATTCTATTATTACTTCTCCATCTCACTCTCCCTCTTAACTATTTGTGCACTTTTGTGTGACAAAAAGAGAGTGAAATTATTTAACTAAATGACATAGTTACTCATATTGTTATAAACACATTTTAAAACTTTGTTTTGAGGACAATTTTTCTTTGAAAAAAAAAAAACAAGAACAACTAAAAAATAACACTTTTTAGTTTTAAGGCAACAAAAAGTGAACATTTTTCCATTAACATAACAACAACTAAAATAAAAGGGAGGTGAGAGATTATGAAACATTTTACTCTTCAAAAATTTTTTAAGTTAAAGATTTTCAATTAGTGTTAAAACAACAATAACTGAAATTTGAAAACTTAAGTAAAAGATCTATTAGCACTGAACTAGAGCAGAAAATGAACTGAACTGCAATGGAACAAGAGTGGAACTAGAACTAAATTAGGATGAAACAAGAATGGAACTAGAACTGAACTAGAACGACTAGAACTGAACTAGAACTGAACTAGAACTGAACTAGAACTGAACTAGAACTGAACTAGAACTGAACTAGAACTGAACTAGAACTGAAAAAGAACTGAACTACAACTGAACTAGAACTGAACTAGAACTGAACTAGAACTGAACTAGAACTGAACTAGAACTGAACTAGAACTGAACTAGAACTGAACTAGAACTGAACTAGAACTGAACTAGAACTGAACTAGAACTGAACTAGAACTGAACTAGAACTGAACTAGAACTGAACACAGAACTGAACTACGAACTGAACTAGAACTGACTAGAACTGAACTAGAACTGAACTAGAACTGAACTAGAACTGACTAGAACTGAACTAGAACTGGACTAGAACAGGACTGAACTAGAACTGAACTAGAACTGAACTAGACTGAACTAGAAACTGAACTAGAACTGAACTAGAACTGAACTTAGAACTGAACTAGAACTGAACTAGAACTGAACTAGAACTGAACTAGAACTGAACTAGAACTGAACTAGAACTGAACTAGAACTGAACTAAGAACTGAACTAGAACTGAACTAGAACTGAACTAGAACTGAACAAGAACTGAACTACAACTGAACTAGAACTGAACTAGAACTGAACTAGAACTGAACTAGAACTGAACTAGAACTGAACTAGAACTGAACTAGAACTGAACTAGAACTGAACTAGAACTGGACTAGAACTGGACTAGAACTAACTAGAACTGAACTAGAACTGAACTAGAACTGAACTAGAACTGAACTAGAACTGAACTAGAACTGAACTAGAACTGAACTAGAACTGAACTAGAACTGAACTAGAACTGAACTAGAACTGAACTAGAACTGAACTAGAACTGAACTAGAACTGAACTAGAACTGAACTAGAACTGAACTAGAACTGAACTAGAACTGAACTAGAACTGAACTAGAACTGAACTAGAACTGAACTAGAACTGAACTAGAACTGAACTAGAACTGAACTAGAACTGAACTAGAACTGAACTAGAACTGAACTAGAACTGAACTAGAACTGAACTAGAACTAAACTAGAACTGAACTAGAACTGAACTAGAACTGAACTAGACTGAACTAGAACTGAACTAGAACTGAACTAGAACTGAACTAGAACTGAACTAGAACTGAACTAGAACTGAACTAGAACTGAACTAGAACTGAACTAGAACTGAACTAGAACTGAACTAGAACTGAACTAGAACTGAACTAGAACTGAACTAGAACTGAACTAGAACTGAACTAGAACTGAACTAGACTGAACTAGAACTGAACTAGAACTGAACTAGAACTGAACTAGAACTGAACTAGAACTGAACTAGAACTGAACTAGAACTGAACTAGAACTGAACTAGAACTGAACTAGAACTGAACTAGAACTGAACTAGAACTGAACTAGAACTGAACTAGAACTGAACTAGAACTGAACTAGAACTGAACTAGAACTGAACTAGAACTGAACTAGAACTGAACTAGAACTGAACTAGAACTGAACTAGAACTGAACTAGAACTGAACTAGATCTGAACTAGAACTGAACTAGAACTGAACTAGAACTGAACTAGAACTGAACTAGAACTGAACTACAAATAAACTAGAACTGAAGAATTTCTGGCAACGCTTTGTTATTAGCAATGCAAAATTTAAACATTCTGACATTTAAACCACATGGCGTATGAGTGTTAAAATAATAACAACGAAAACATGAACAACAATAAAATTAATTAAATATTAATCATACGTACCAATGTTGTAGAGTGTAAATGTTTGAACATTTATATTTACATATCAATGAACGGACCAATACACAATAATAGTTATAATAACAGAAAAATATATAACAAAAACTAACATTTTATTATTGTTCTATTTGTAAAACAGTTATTTATGGTTCACACAAAAAAGTGAATGAGTAAGAAAGAGAAAGTATGAAAAAGAGCCAAAGAGTCAAAAAAATAATACATTTGAGTTTTTCTGTTCTCCCTTTATACCAACAATATGATGTCATAATCATACAGATAAACGTAATAACAAATAACAGGTTTTATTTGTCATAAAATTCGAGAAAAAAAGGAAAAACAACGGACAAACACTGGAAAAAAGCAACAATAACTATGTATGTAAGCTTCAGGCGTCATTGGTTTAAATTATTGGTATAAATAAAAAAGCGTGGTGCGATTATTATAGGGTATGGTGGGTGTTCCTGTTAGGATTTTTATACATAGATGATGGATGGTAATGGGTATACATTTTTATTGTTTTGATTAATTGTGTATTAAATGGAAGATTCCATAATTGCAGTAAATAAAGAGAATAAATATACATACAATTTTAAATATTTCAGTTTTTAAAACTTTATAAATATTGTAATACCCTACGGTACTTTTTAAGTCAGTTAATTTGCCGGAAAATGACCTTTACGCCGAAACCCTAAAAAATCCTAATTGAACTAGAACTCAACTAGAACTGAACAAGACTGGAACTGGAACTGATCTAGAACTGTACGAGATATTATAATGTGCAACTTACCGGTTCAGCTGGCACTTCATCCAAAACCTTGGGCTCGCATTTCTCTTCACTGCTGGCAGTAGTAGCGCTGGTAGTAGTGGTGGTAGTAGTTGTGCTAGTCGTCAGCATTGATTTTGGACCAGATGTTGGCGTTGGAGCCGTAGAAGTATGTTTTGTGGTGCTACGTTTAGTGGCAGTACTTTTTTTCTTAGACGTCGCCTCCATCGCGTCTAGTGTAGAGATGACATCTGCTGTGGGTAAAATATCATTAAAATCCATTTGTTGTGACAACACCACCGTATTCCTTTTTATATCACGCTCTTGATGATGATGACGCTGTTGTTGTTGTTGTTGCTGCTGCAGTTGTAGCATTTGTTGTTCTTGTTGCTGTCTTTTCAATTGTTCATGTTCCTTTTGAGCTTTCTTATAATAGGCCAGCAATTGTTGTTCATTACTATTTACATCAATATCTTCGACCACCATGCCATCCGACTCTTCCACATCATTATCGGTGTGATGATACTTAATGGGGGGTTCATAGGCCACCGCTGCGAAGACCATAGAAGTTTGTGTTAAAGCTAACGAAGCCATCGAGGCTACGGAGGGCATCCAAAGTGACCTATTAGAGTGATATCTTGTTGTAGACCCACTACATGTTAATGCTAGTAGTAATAAAGCCCACAAACGCTTTAAGGTAAAACCTCTGTTTTTCGTCAAATTTCTTAGAAATTCTACTGATGTCCTTAGTTTATGTGGTTGCTGTATATGTGGTGCTGCTTTTTCTATTGCATTTCGGTTTGTGGTTCCTTTAGTTTTGGCTTTTTCCCTTTTATGTTTTGTTGTTAGTTCTACGTGATTTTGTTGGCCACTTTGGATTTTTAATAGTTTGTTGTGTTGCTGTTGCAGTTTTCGTTGCTGTTTTTTGTTTATTGAATATTGCTGTTTTGGTGGTAGATATTGTACATTTTTGATTTGTTGTTCTATAGCTTTTGTTGTCCTTCTAGCTGTTGCACTTTGAGGGACTTTTGATGGTGCCTCTGCTGCTGCTGTTTTTCTTTTTTATACGATTGTCTATGATGACATTTTCGATGGGTCTGTTGTAATTGCTGTGAAGCTAAATACACATTATATCTATTTCTCACTCCCATATCACCGTTCATAGATAGATTTTGATCTGGTATTTTTATAGTATTTTTCCAAACAAAAGTAAAAAAGTTGAAACTAAGTACAATTTTGTAAAGAGAAATCGTTTATGGGTTTGTTTCTTTTAGTTGTACTAAATTTTATCGTCGTAATCATCTGTAAAGATAAAATAAATTGGTTAAAAATACGATTTTTAATAAAAAGGTATTAGTTTAAAGAAAAAAATTGTAATGAACTAAACTAAACTGAACTAGAAGTGAACTAGAAGTGAACTAGAACTGAACTAGAAGTAAACTAGAACTGAACTAGAACTGAACTAGAACTGAACTAGAACTGATCTAGAACTGAACTAGAACTGAACTAGAACTGAACTAGAATTGAACTAGAACTGAACTAGAACTGATCTAGAACTGAACTAGAACTGAACTAGAACTGAACTAGAACTGAACTAGAACTGAACTAGAACTGAACTAGAACTGAACTAGAACTGAACTAGAACTGAACTAGAACTGAACTAGAACTGAACTAGAACTGAATTAGAACTGAACTAGAACTGAACAAGAACTGAACTAGAACTGAACTAGAACTGAACTAGAACTGAACTAGAACTGAACTAGAAGTGAACTAGAACTGAACTAGAACTGAACTAGAACTGAACTAGAACTGAACTAGAACTGAACTAGAACTGAACTAGAACTGAACTAGAACTGAACTAGAACTGAACTAGAACTGAACTAGAACTGAACTAGAACTGAACTAGAACTGAACTAGAACTGAACTAGAACTGAACTAGAACTGAACTAGAACTGAACTAGAACTGAACTAGAACTGAACTAGAACTGAACTAGAACTGAACTAGAACTGAACTAGAACTGAACTAGAACTGAACTAGAACTGAACTAGAACTGAACTAGAACTGAACTAGAACTGAACTAGAACTGAACTAGAACTGAACTAGAACTGAACTAGAACTGAACTAGAACTGAACTAGAACTGAACTAGAACTGAACTAGAACTGAACTAGAACTGAACTAGAACTGAACTAGAACTGAATTAGAACTGAACTAGAACTGAACAAGAACTGAACTAGAACTGAACTAGAACTGAACTAGAACTGAACTAGAACTGAACTAGAACTGAACTAGAACTGAACTAGAACTGAACTAGAACTGAACTAGAACTGAACTAGAACTGAACTAGAACTGAACTAGAACTGAACTAGAACTGAACTAGAACTGAACTAGAACTGAACTAGAACTGAACTAGAACTGAACTAGAACTGAACTAGAACTGAACTAGAACTGAACTAGAACTGAACTAGAACTGAACTAGAACTGAACTAGAACTGAACTAGAACTGAACTAGAACTGAACTAGAACTGAACTAGAACTAGAACTGAACTAGAACTGAACTAGAACTGAACTAGAACTGAACTAGAACTGAACTAGAACTGAACTAGAACTGAACTAGAACTGAACTAGAACTGAACTAGAACTGAACTAGAACTGAACTAGAACTGAACTAGAACTAGAACTGAACTAGAACTGAACTAGAACTGAACTAGAACTGAACTAGAACTGAACTAGAATTGAACTAGAACTGAACTAGAACTGAACTAGAACTGAACTAGAACTGAACTAGAACTGAACTAGAACTGAACTAGAACTGAACTAGAACTGAACTAGAACTGAACTAGAACTGAACTAGAACTGAACTAGAACTGAACTAGAATTGAACTAGAACTGAACTAGAACTGAACTAGAATTGAACTAGAACTGAACTAGAACTGAACTAGAACTGAACTAGAACTGAACTAGAACTGAACTAGAACTGAACTAGAACTGAACTAGAACTGAACAAGAACTGAACTAGAACTGAACTAGAACTGAACTAGAACTGAACTAGAGTGAACTAGAACTGAACTAGAACTGAACTAGAACTGAACTAGAACTGAACTAGAACTGAACTAGAACTGAACTAGAACTGAACTAGAACTGAAGTAGAACTGAACTAGAACCGAACTGAACGTTCTTTCCGATTTTGAACTGAACTAGTTCTATGCTAGCTCTGTTTCATTTCTAGCTCACTTTATTTCCAGTTCACTTTCGAATCTTAACGGAGCTACTTATGTATGTTCTAGTTGAGTTTATTTCCGTTTCTAAAAAAACTCGTATATTTTATTTTTACACTGAAAATCTTACTATTTAGTTGCTTATCTTAAGTTAGCTTATTTTGAATTCTTTACGATTCAAGACAATCTAATAGAATAGAAAAAAAAATAACAAAAATCATAAAAATCAAATATAAATGCTAAACTGCCAAAGAAAACATCATTTCGGAAAAAGGTTTTCTTAGCTTAAAAAAATGAGGAGGAAAAAATAGAAAACAATTAAATAAATGGTTTTTATGCTCTTTCTGTGCCTGGTCCATTCATTCCAATTTGTGTGAACGAACATTATAGAATATAACAAATGTTATCCTTGATATCAACATCCATTTCTTAGAAATATACATATGTACATACATACATAGTGTTTAATTTACACTTGAGTGCATTTTGTTGTGGTTTCTTTATATACTCCAAGAATATATACAAGTTATACCTACATACACATATGTATGTAAATATGTATGTCTGTACATATATACATACTATATCTTAGTATTAACATACATACATACGTATTTGTATTTTAGTGTTCATTTAAGTATGTATGTAATTTATAAAGTACTTAATTTATATGTATGTATAAAAGTTTATAAAGAAACAGATTTAGAATTGTCTTTTTGTACAAATTCTACATAAAAGCTTTTATTAAAGGAAACGTTAATAAGAAAATTTACTTGCCAAAGGAAGAGTTGTCTTGTCCTTTTTTTGTTGTTTTCTTTTTATATTATTAATACTATTACTTTATTTATGCAAATATTGACCTGAAACAGTTTTCTGCTTAACCTTCATGTCAAGTCATGTTAGGAGGTTGGAGTGAAATTTCGTAACACATTGTGTACTCATTGATTAAAAAATCCTTATGAAAAGGACTATGAAAATGAAAAACGTTTAATGAAGCTTGAGAGTTGTACTTGACATATTCTTTCGTCTTAAGAATTTGAAATAAAAAAGAGTTTTCATAAGGTAAGAACGCAATTCAATTAAAATATGGAAGTTCCTTAAAGTCATAAGATATTTTTAGAGGTTGGACGCCATCACTATTTGAACCTGAACCAGAACAGAAATAAAACAGAACTAGAACAGAACTACAACAGAACTAGAACAGAACTAGAACAGAACTAGACAGAACTAGAACAGAACTAGAACAGAACTAGAACAGAACTAGAACAGAACTAGAACAGAACTAGAACAGAACTAGAACAGAACTAGAACAGAACTAGAACAGAACTAGAACAGAACTAGAACAGAACTAGAACAGAACTAGAACAGAACTAGAAACAGAACTAGACAGAACTAGAACAGAACTAGAACAGAACTAGAACAGAACTAGAACAGAACTAGAACAGAACTAGAACAGAAACTAGAACAGAACTAGAACAAACTAGAACAGAAACTAGAACAGAACTAGAACAGAACAGAACTAGAACAGAACTAGGAACAGAACTAGAACAGAACTAGAACAGAACTAGAACAGAACTAAGAACAGAAACTAGAACAGAACTAGAACAGAACTAGAACAGAACTAGAAACAGAACTAGAAACAGAACTAGAACAGACTACACAGAACTAAACAGAACTAGAACAGACTAGAAACAGAACTACAACAGAACTACAACAGAACTAGAACAGAACTAGAACAGAACTAAACAGAACTAGAACAGAACTAGAACAGAACAGAACAGAACAGAACAGAACTAGAACAGAACTAGAACAGAACTAGAACAGAACTAGAACAGAACTAGAAGAACTAGAACAGAACTAGAACAGAACTAGAAACAGAACTAGAACAGAACTAGAACAGAACTAGAACAGAACTAGACAGAACTAGAACAGAACTAGAACAGAACTAGAACAGAACTAGAACAGAACTAGAACAGAACTAGAACAGAACTAGAACAGAACTAGAACAGAACTAGAACAGAACTAGAACAGAACTAGAACAGAACTAGAACAACTAGAACAGAACTAGAACAGAACTAGAACAGAACTAGAACAGAACTAGAACAGAACTAGAACAGAACTAGAACAGACCTAGAACAGAACTAGAACAGAACTAGACAGAACTAGAAACAGAACTAGAACAGAACTAGAACAGAACTAGAACAGAACTAGAACAGAACTAGAACAGAACTAGAACAGAACTAGAACAGAACTAGAACAGAACTAGAACAGAACTAGAACAGAACTAGAACAGAACTAGAACAGAACTAGAACAGAACTAGAACTAGAACAGAACTAGAACAGAACTAGAACAGAACTAGAACAGAACTAGAACAGAACTAGAACAGAACTTAGAACAGAACTAGACAGAACTAGAACAGAACTAGAACAGAACTAGAACAGAACTAGAACAGAACTAGAACAGAACTAGAACAGAACCAGAACAGAACTAGAACAGAACTAGAACAGAACTAGAACAGAACTAGAACAGAACTAGAACAGAACTAGAACAGAACTAGAACAGAACTAGAACAGAACTAGAACAGAACTAGAAACAGAACTGGAACAGAACTAGAACAGAACTAGAACAGAACTAGAACAGAACTAGAAGAACTAGAACAGACTAGAACAGAACTAGAACAGAACTAGAACAGAACTAGAACAGAACTAGAACAGACTAGAACAGAACTAGAACAGAACTAGAACAGAACTAGAACAGAACTAGAAAGAACTAGAACAGAACAGAACTAGAACAGAACTAGAACAGAACTAGAACAGAACTAGACAGAACTAGACCAGAACTAGAACAGAACTAGACCAGAACTAGACCAGAACTAGAGCAGAACTAGAGCAGAACTAGAACAGAACTATAACAGAACTATAACAGAACTAGAACAGAACAAGAACAGAACAAGAACAGAACTAGAACAGAACTAGAACAGAACTAGAACAGAACTAGAACAGAACTAGACCAAAACTAGACCAGAACTAGACCAGAACTAGACCAGAACTAGAACAGAACTAGAACAGAACTAGAACAGAACTA